ACATTTTTTGATCTTTTTAAGATCCTGTGTTGCTAGGTAGCCCAGGCTGGCCTCAAACTGGCGATCCTCCTCTGTGTCTGTTTCTGGAATGCAGACATTATAGTCATATTCTTAGCTAATTAACTATTTAAAAATCCAGAAAAGATACACCATGTAGATGGGAGAAATCTCATTGGTTGCCAAGGGGCTCGGAAGGGAAGGGAAGGAGACAGAGAGAATCCAGGGAGCAGAGTCAGTCCTGCATGGTGCCCCGGTGGTGGGTCATTCAGTTGTCACCATCGCAGACTGTGCAAGAAGGGGGAACCCTCGGCCCAGCCACGGGCCCGAGTAACAAGAAGGTAGCCCCCAGAGCCACGTGATGGATGAGGGCAGGACCTAGAAGGCAGCAGGAACTCTCTACTTTCTGCTCGCTTTTTATTTATTTATTTTTTTTTAGACAGAAAACTTGCTCCCCTAACTCAAGTTCAGCCCAGCACACAGAAAGCAAATAAATACCTACAGCGAGCAGAAGGGAGCCGACCACCATGTGGCCACTGTCCTCACTCGGTTTATAGCTGCGATAAACACCAGTGACCAAAAGCAAACTGGGGTGGAAAGGGCTTGTCTGGGGTAGGTGTCCCAAATCACGGTCACACTCCATCACCGAAGGAAGTCAGGACAGGAGCTCAAGCAGGGCAGGGACCCGGAGGCAGGAGCTGATGCAGAGGCCATGGAGGGGTGCTGCTTACTGGCTTGCTCTCCATGGCTTGCTCAGCCTTCTTTCTTACAGAACCCAGGACTATCAGCCCAGGGATGGCTCCACCCACCGTGGGCTGGGCCCTCCCCCATCCATCACTAATTAAGAAACAACCCTACAGGTTTGCCTACAGAGCCAATCTGATGGAGGCGTTTTCTCTATTGAGGCTCCTCTTCCCAGGTGACCCCCTGTTTGTGGCACATTGACACCAACACCTACCTCTTCTCCATTTGCTAACCCTGCTCGGAGCTCAATGACGGGCTTCAGGGGGTTGGTATTGCTAGGAGGAGGTCAGATGTGAGGGGTCGGGGTGAAGGCATGAGTTTTCAAACAAACCCCTTTAGTGCCTGAAGGGACATCAGATGTTTTATGTCCCCCCCCCAATCTATGCAGAAGGTCCCCTGTCCCAAGCTTGGTGTAGAAAGAACAGAGATGGGGGGGGGGCGGGGGGGGCGGGGCTGTGCTGCTATGGCAAAGGGAAGGTGCTGAGTACCTTGGGGACAGGTGTGTCCCTAGAGACACCTCTCTGTGCCGTGCCTGTGGGAGAGAGAACTAAGCGTCTTGCATTTTATGAGGATTCCATGTGAGGTGTGACTTAAGGGGGTTCAGGAAATCCGGGGTCTCTGGGATAGCTGCACTTGGGGGTTGAGATGGATTCCACACACCTTACACATCCACGCCCATCCACATCCACCAGGTTGCAATTCCGCAGCCATCTGCCTAACCCTGTTCTTCTGAGCACTGGCTCCCTCATACGGGGACCGGGCCAGATTCCAACCCATTCTTCAAAAGGCTCCTCTCTAAACCCAGCCACCACTCGCCCGCCATTCCTGAAAGCGCAGGGTTTCGGCTCACAGGGAAGTTAACAGATTGACGATGGGACCGCGTTCCCCCCCCACCCCAGCTCTCCCAAGCCTCCTCAGAAGCACTGGCTGCTGTTCTTGGCTGGGCACCGGCTTCCCGGCGGCGGCTGGGCTAACGCCATTGGCCAGGCTGGGCCTTTACTGTTACCCAGGGGACCCTCAGATGTGCGGCTCCCGAGTGACCTGTGGTTAAGAAGAACATGGGAGGGGAGGTGTCCCCCCATACCTCCCCGGTTTCCCAGCCCAGCCCCCTCCTCTCTGTGACAAACCAACCCGTCTGGCTTCATTCTCTCCCCATCTGACTCTGCCACACACACGACACAAGACCAAATTAAAAAAGACTATTTTCTGCTCGGCATGAAATTTTTAGTCCTGGCAAGCATTCGGGGAAAACACTTTGAACACAGGGCATCTGAGCAGTTGAGCTGCTACAGAAATTCTGTTGGGACAGAACGGAGCATGTGTGTGGGGACCACTTCTCACGGGGCGTCCCTGACAGTTCCTCACACCTCCAGAATGGATGGCCTTCTCGGCCAATGGGGGTGGGGGTGGCCGACCAATCTTAACAATAAAAGCGCCTCTAACTGTGAGTGTCTGTGGAGCTCCGGGCTTTGCGTGTGTCATCTCATTTAAACACAACCACACACTCCTATTCAGTATTGTTATCTCCGCTGTACGCATAAGACAACTAAGGCTCAGAGAGGCGAGGTAACCTGCTCAAGATCACACAGCTTGTAATGGCTGAGATTCGAATCCGGCGCTGTCAGGCTCACAGAGACAACATGCTCACTGAAGTTCTCTGGGATGTTCAGTGTGAAAAGGGCTGGAGCTTATGCCGAACATCGATCTCTTAGATTATCCTGGGAATCAGACGGCTCTTTCTTCGGTCAGTCAGTCATTCAACAAACAGATCACAAATCCTTGCTGTAAGACTGGCATCTGTGGCTACAAGGCTGAATAAAATCCAGCTCCCTCCTAAGAGCCAGGATCTGTGTGTAAGGAGTGACCCCCACTAGGGAGGAGTTCTGGTTTGGGGGGGTGAGGCACACCGTGTGTGTCGGCTCTCTTCCGAAGCTGTTATCACCACCTGAGCAGGGTCCTGTCGCCCTGTGACTGACACACTACTAAGTGACCGGCAGAGTCGTGTCACATCTGCGCTAGTGTGAATGGGGAAACTGAGGCCTGGAAAAGAAGGAGCCTTAGCAGAGACTGCTGAGCAGTTGGAGAGGTCAAAAAAGGTCTGTCTACCCCCTGAGGACCCATGAAGGGCCCTCCGCTTGCAATGGCCTCCCCCTGCTGCAGGGGTGCATTTTCTCTGCTCCCCCGAAGGCCATGCGGGCTGTGTGTGTGCGTGTGTGTGTGTGTGTGTGTGCGTGTGTCCAAATCCACTTCTCTAATCATGTCTGTGTCTATGTGGCTACCGCACCAGGGAGGGGAATTCTCAGAAACATCCCAAGTGAACACTGCACCCCGATTTCCCATCATCACTCAGGAGGAGACTGAGTGGAATGGGGCTTGATTAAGGACCCACTTTTTAAAAAGCATGAAATCTGGGGACACCCTGGAAGTCAGGTCAGGGCGAGCAAAGTGAGCTACTCTCGGAGCGGGGCTGGGGCGCTGGGGCTGTACGCTGGAAGATGTCTCCCCCGGGGAGCTTCCAGAGTCTCCTATACCTCCGAACACTCCCACGTCCCCCTTCCCAGAACCGTGACATGTCACCTTCCATGACTGGAGGGGGTGGGGAGGTTGGCCTGGGTCACTCGGGGGCATGGTGGTATCTCAGGGGAAAGAGGGAGGCGAGGATGCCGGAGTGTTAGCCGAGACCTGGGTGTGGCAGGTGCCAGCTTTGGACAAGAGGCCTGGGGCTGTGGGCAGCTTCTGGAGTCTGGCTGGAGAAGGCCAGTTTCTTTTCGTGTCTCCAGCACTTTGGTGTGACCCGGATCGTGACATTAGCTGAGCACGATCCGATCCGTCTTGGCCTTGGGGCCCTGCCGTCTGTGTGGCTGTTTTTAAGGCAGGGTGTGTGAACGTGACTGGGAAGAACACTCCAGTCAACACTCTGTGGGGACACTCAGGGTTGTGCCCTGGGACACTCACACCCCCAGCCTTCCCCTCAGGCCAGCCTGCCTTCCACATCTTGGCTGTAACGGGATGGGGAAGGCCTCCAGCAGGGCACAGGCTGAAGGGAACCTCAGTCTTGCTCAGACTCGCCAACTGTGGCCAGTCTCCCGGACTCTCTCTTGTCCCCTGGCTCACTGTCCGCCCCCAGGGTGGCCTGTGGGGACCACATCAACACTCCATCACTTGTGCAAGGCCAAGAGCAGGAGGGGGGCAGAGCCGCTGCTGCCTCAGTTTCTCCTGGAATGCTCAGCTAGAGGTGCCCAGGGACCCGTGGGCTGCGGCCACAAAGGGCACACAACTCAGGTTCTCCACTCGCTAACCCACACCGAGACGGAGTTTCTCAACACGAGTGCAGGGCACCTGCTTCTCTTGAACGGGAGTGGCGTCGGCTCTGCTCTGGGCCTGTGGTGCGTTTGTGTCCGATCTTCGGGATGACTCATCCCCACCCCCCAGGGTGAACACCAGCACAGCTCCCCTTTACAATATGAGGAAACTGAGGCATGGGAATTAAGTCACCTGTTAGAGACACTCACGAGTGGGGTCTCATGCCAAACTGTTGAAGGTGGCTCAGGCCGTGGCACTGTTACGGTCTGTCAGGAAGCCCCCCTTCTCACGGACGATGGTGCCCCCCAGCTTACTCTGCTCCCATCTTACACCTCCAGCCACCGGTGTCTTACACTCGGCTGCTCCCAGGGCTGTTCACAGCTGTCCTCTTTCCCTCTCGGGGAAAGGGAACTCAAGGCCCCACTACTGGGTTTCCACAATGAGCCTGGTTAACTCTTTGGAGTCTCCTTTGCCCCGGGGCAGACTCCATCAGCCACTCTTGCTTCTCGGCCTCTCCTGCCCACGCCCTGCCCAGGCGCATTCCGCAGCAGCGTGGTGGTTGCCAGGCCTCAGGCTCTGGCCACATGGGGGTTTTCTGGTGACTCCCGGAGCCTGGCTGGAGCCTACAGAGCCTGGCACTCGGGTGCCTATGTCCCTGTGCCAGGAGCACACCGGGCCCTTGTTCTCCCGCCTCCCCACCCTGCCCTGCTCAGGTTGGAGCCCCGCCTGGAGCCGAACAGGGCTCCAACTTTGTCGTTTCTTGGCCACGTTCCTATCGGCTGCCCGTGGGGAAACCGAGTCACGAGGGACGTTTGCTGAAACGCTCTGAAACTGGAGCAAGCCTGGGTCTAGGCTGCCAGCCCGCCTCCTTTGAAAGGGGAAGCTTGTTGGGTCTGGTTTCTGTGTCTTTCTCCTCTTCCTCAGTTTCCTCCAAGGTCCCAGGGGAGGCGAGCTCTGCTAAATGCCCTCATTGTGAAGAACCAAAGCATCCCTGCCGCCTTGAGACTGACCCAGGAGGGCAGTGACGTCGTCGGCCAGGGATCCATGGCCCTCTTATCAAGCAAGGTTTTCCTTTGGCCCAAGGGAGGGAGGGAGGGAGGGAGGGAGGGGAGAGAGCAGAGACTTTCTGGAAAGAACTGGTTGGACCTCAGGGGAGGCAAACACAGTCTCAAAAAAGAGGAGCGTTATCTCGCCAAAGAGAACCATTAATTGGCCATTCCCCTGTGGAGGAGCTTTTCTTGTCTAAAAGCTCTCAGAGAGGGAGAGAGAGAGAGAGAGAGAGAGAGAGAGAGAGAGAGAGAGAGAGAGAGAGAGAGAGAGCAGGAGCTTCCAGGCAGCCAACCCACTGAGCCTTGTACCAGTGTGCTTCGTAAATGTTTCCGTGGCTCTGTGGTTTACAATGTGTCTTGGGAGGGCTGCAGGGAGGAGGTAGCCTGGGGCAGGGGCAGGCTACATCCGCTGCACCCGACTTTTTCCCAAGTGTCTTTGCACCTTGGATGAATCTCCTTCTCTCTTGGCCTCAGTTTCCCCAAATGTAAAATGATGTGTGTGTGTGTGTGTGTGTGTGTGTGTGTGTGTGTGTGTGTATGTCCCAGATGTTCTCAGCTCACCCACCTCTGCTGTGCATGTCACAAGGAGGAGGAGAATCACAGCGCTTGGCCATTCTCCATCCGTTCTCTTTCTTCTCAGGCAACAGAGGGCCTGTCTCTGGAGATACCAGCAGCTCTAAAGAGGGTAAGAATGGTGAGGAGCCAGGCAGGTGGGGGGGGGGCGCTGGGGACTGGACAGATGGAATCTGGGTGCCCTGAGGGTGTGGAGGGTGGCAGCAGCAGCTGGAGCCTGGGATGGTGGAGCAGAAAGAAGGACTGAGGAGAAACTGAGTCAGGGGAAGGGACGTGTGGCGGGGCCTGGTCACTCGGAACCTTTCCAGCAGGTGACTAACCTAGGTGGGTCCTCTCGTCCATGGCTTCCCATGGCCTGCCTCACTTGGGGAAACTCAGCAGCAGAGAACATCCACACTGGCCAGAGAAGGGTCAGTAAACCTGAGGCTCCATCTCTAAAGCCAAGGGTCCAGGTCCTGTCTACTCTGGCCACTGTGACCTCTGGGACCCTTTGCACAGAACAAAATAACGAGAGCCCCCGGAGAAGATGAGGAGGTGATGTGTGCTATGCCTCCACAGAAACTCCCTTGACCTAACGGACTCCATCACCTCAGCGCTTCCCAACTCTACCTCAAACACCAGCTCAGACCTCACTCACCGAGTCACTCAGCAAACATCATCGCCACCAGGCTCCGGGGGAGCTGCTTGGCCACCACAGTGAAGTCACAGGCCATACAGCCCCTGTGACTCCTGTTCCACCCTGGACTTGTTTACGGGGTGGGGTGGGGTGGTGGTGAGGACATTGTAGGTTACCACGTCGGCGGTGGCGAGGACCTCAGGGGATGTTGGTGTCTGTTGGGCGAAGGCCGGGGTACACACAGCCTGGTTGGGGGTGTGGGGTTGGAGGGGCTGTGGACTGAAGACCTTCTGTAGGGGAGGGAGGGGGAGAGACTCAGGACCTCACTGGGTCCTGAAGGGTCAGTTCCAGGCTGGCCTAGGACTTACGTCATCCTCCTGCCTCAGCTTCCTGAGTGCAGGGCTTACAGATGTGTGACACTACACTGTCTCCCAGGGTGGTCTTTAAATAACACTTTTCTGTCTTTTCTCAACCTCTCCACAGCCTGTGCTGAGCACAGCAACCAACAGTCCTCTGTGATGTTCTCCAACCCATACCACAGCCTTGGTGGTCCCTCCTCCCAAGGACTCACTTCCGGATGCCACCTCAGCCCAGAAGCCCCCAACTATCGAGGAGGGGGTCTCCTGCCTTCTATTCAGTACCGGCCATTGCTTCCTGACTTTACTTCCTGTTTTGGTGTGTGAGGCTGTGTGTCCCACAGGACTGAGCAACAGAGGGCTCTTCGCCATTCCCAGGGCTACCTGGGACCACGGTACCTGAATGGTCGGAAGTTCAGTGCTAAGGCTGGGGGAACGCTGAATAAACCCCAAGCCGGTTAGGATGGTTCTTTCTGAGGTGTGTGCAAGGCCCTGTCACACCTGCTGGAGGAGTCAGGGTTCAAAGTCACCAGCCAGACTTCAGGGTCACACAGGAAGAATCCAGCCGCATCCTGCCCTGTTTGAGCATCAAGGGTCTGTGAAAACCTCAGGGGTGTTGCTATCCAGCTGGGGCCCAGTGGGTAGAGAAGGGTCTCCAGCCACATCCTGCCACCCAGTCGGAAGGAAGGGGTCCCCAGATGGGCAGGGAGTGACTGCAGAGATCTGACTGCCCTGAACCTGGATGCCAGCTCCTTGCCTGGGCCCTCTCACTCTGGGCTGGCCTCTGCCACCTCCCCCTGGAGCAACAACCTACCTTGACTCTGCGGTCAAGGGACTGTCTCCTGAACCACACGGGATATTTATCTCTTTGCCTGCATTGGTGTCCTCCAAAGCTAGGGTTGCCACAGTGCTTCTTGTGTGTGTGTGTGTGTGTGTGTGTGTGTGTGTGTGTTTGTAATTTTTTTTTGGGGGGGGCAGCCCTTCCCCCTAGCCTTAGCACACTTTGGAAAAGAGCCCAGGCTAGGCGGGAGGGCTGCCTGGTAGCCTCTGAGTCAAGGCAGGCTGCTCACAGAGCTCGTGTTCGTCGTCGCACCCTTGGGAATTTTCTGCAGCCAGCAATGACTTGGTCTGAAACAGGTTACAGAGCTGGGTGTGGCATCGGTGTCTACACATCTGGGGAGGCTGAGGCAGGAGAGTAGCCAGGCCAAGGCTGATCTGGACTACCTAGTGAGACCTTGTCGCCAAACACACGATCTCTCTTCCACTCCATCCCCAGCAGCACAGCAACCAGGAGTCAAGAGTCTGTACCTGGGGCGGAAGCATTTCCTGGCCAGCTGAGAGAATTATCTGGGAATGCGGGGGTCGTGTCGGTGGGAAATGAGACCCACATACACACACAACAGAAAACTAGCACAGACAACCTGACCAGCACCATGAACACACAGCATGCAGCTACCAGCCCAGTGTGAATAGTGTAACACCCTTCTGCACCAAAACGGGTCCTCTCCCTTCAGCACAGGGCGGTCCTTCCCTACTCTTGGATGGACACTCTCCACCTGAGCACACACGCATCCCCAGGACCGTGGTGTAGCTTCCATTTTGGGCTTTTTACACTCAGAATTTTGCAGCATGTGCTTTTTGCTAATTGGGCTTTTTTGGGGCTGGTATTATTTTAGCACAAGGCATCCGATTGTGGTGTATAGCCAGAGTCTGTCTGTTGTTGTGGCTGTATACTATTCCCTGGTTAGTTCAAGTCCTGTGCTCCCTGTGCATCTGGGATTATGTTTAAATGGCCTCTGTTCCACTGTCAGTAAATTACAGGTAAGGACTTCATCTCTGTCCAGTGTGTGTCTAATGCCACGATGTAGAGATGACTGAGCTGTGTTAGTCAGCTCTGCCATTTGCTCAAGCAGGCACGCAGACTCACCCTCCCCAGCATGTGGGTGTCCTGAGGTCTCCTCCATTCAGCATTATCTGGGAACTGCCAATCTACTGAACTCTGCACCAGCGTGAGCCTGAAACAGTGGCAGCCAGTTCTTAGCCCCTGGGCAGTCTAGAAGAGGTGACCCAGGTCATAGGTCAGTCACTGCTCTCATGAACATGAACCCTAAAGGACTGACAGATCTAAGGAGATGTGACCAGACCCAGGGAGGGCCCAGGACTGCCTCGAAGGAACCCTTCACCCTGGAAGGGGGAACTGCAACTAACTGGTCCAAATGGAAGCTGGTGGGCTGACGTCAAAGCATGTGTAAAGGTCCTGGGGTGGGACAGCGTGGGTTTAAACGCTCAGAAAACAGGCCTGGATGTGAGGAGGGTGGCGACATCAGACTGTGCCAGCTCTCAGCCACCCCATCGTCTAACGGTCTTCCAGGCAGACGCTGTTCTGAGGGTGGAGGATGACGCCAGCCCCCATCAGGCTCCCCCCCCCCCCCCCCCCCCCCAGCAAGGCTGTTAAGTGACTTATTCCTGGGGTGAGAAGGGGACCACCACTTGGTTTATTGGGAAAAGCTGAGACTGCGGGGACACACGGGTGTGTTAAGATCGTATCAGGGAAACGGGGCCTGGAGCTTAGGGGAGACACCAAGTAGGAGGTGTCCATCCCTCACCTGGACCCCATAAAGGGATGGACACCCGCCCCTGTCATGGCGTGGCCACAGTAATCTGTCACTGGACAAGGACCCAGGACTCCCCAGCTTGGTTGGTCCCTCAATGTTGACGCAGGCTAATGTCTGCTGGTCCATCCACCTGTCTGTCCGTCAGGACCTGGGCCCGCCCCGCTGTTTCCTGCCACTGAGCTTCTCATTTTATGGCTGAGCAGCAGCTCCCTTGGCTCATTATCCCTGCTGTACAGACTCCCTCAGCCTTTGGAGCCTCACAATCTCTGCGGCAGCTTGTATCCACTCTGTAGGTGCCCCCCCCAGCAATTCATGCATGCATTCACTCACATACATGTGCACACAGACATACCACACATGCGTACACACATATGCATTCACACATACACACACATATATACATATGCATATACACACATATATATATGCATATGCATACATACGCATACACACCATACGCACCACATGTGTTCACAGATGCACATGTGCACACCCATTCACACACGCACATATGCACATGCACATCTACGGTAGTGTGATGTGAGAGCTGATATCAGTCATTAAGATTGCAATTAAAGAGCCTGCGTTCGCTCAGGCCAGGCCACCAAGGCAGGCAGATGACATGACAAATTATGATCATTGAGACACTCAGGCTTGCGAATTTGTTAAGCCAATAAATTCTGAGACCGTGGAAACACAGCTGTGCCCGTCTGTTTCTGGCACTCACAACGTGGAGAGTGGGCACAGGTTGCCGTGGGGTCGCCTCACAAGAGGTGGAGGGGCCTCTCGGTTCAGTGTGGCTGGAGTTAAAATCTCAGTTGTGCAAGTTCTAATTGTGACCTCAGAGCCTGGGGGTGGGCAGAGGGGGGCAGATAGAGAGGCGAGGGGAGAAGGGAAAAGAGACACACGGGGCAAAGGGTGGGACGGGGACGGGGGAGGCTAGGAAGGATCCGCCTTTCTTCTCTCGGGCTGCCGAAGTTGTGGTGTGCAAGGAGGACCTGTTTTATTGAGCACCTACTATGTGCTGGCACCCTAACTCTGTGGGGAGAAAACTGAGGCCTCATTGGGCACACAGTTCGAAGTGGAGCAGGCTGGAGGGAGTCCTCCCTTCTCTGAGGACATGGTAGCCCAACACACACACACACACACACACACACACACACACACACGCACACGCACACGCACACGCACGCACGCACGCGCGCACACACACGTGTATGAGCATGCAGACAGTGGAGGGGAGTGACTCCTAGTCCAGGGTGCCATGGGGTAGCTGTGAAGTCCAGGCTGATCTCCCAGATTGAGGGCTGTTCTCATGTCTCCTGAGTCCTTGCTGAGAGCCTGCCTGGCCCGTGTGACACCCTGACAGTGACAGCCTGTACCCTGGGAGCTGCCTCGTGCCTGAGGCAGGGGAAGCCCGGTGTGCGGGAGGCCTCCTTTCATCCATAAAGCTCTCAGCTTGCCTGCGGGGTCGCTTCAGTATGGCTGGTGCTGAGAGGCCTTGACTCTCCCCTGGGATCACCCCTCCCTGACCATCTGCCAGTGTCTGTGGCTCAGGAAACCGCAGAGAGTGATTCCCCCGCTGGTGATCTCTCCACCGCCCCCACCACCCTCCAGTCCCCTAGGCTTTGGTTGGTCACAGCAACTGTGGTGGAGGATTTGGCTGAAATTTGAGAATCACTCAATGGTTCAATGATGTGGTTACCGGGGTGGTGTTGATGGGACTTTGTGCCAGAAGGCAAGAGCCGGGCTAGGGAGGAAGTCTGTAAAAGAAAAACGTGAACCAAAGGACAAATAAATTGTGAAAGGTGGGGGGAGGGGGGCGGTGGGCACTCTCGAGCTCCTGGATCCAGCCAAGCCTGAAGCTCTAGATGAATTCTTACATAAGCGGATACATTTCCCCTTTCTGCCTGAGCGTAAAAGAATGTGATAATATTTAAGTTGAGATTTTTCTTTTAGGACCCAAAGAATGCAGTGCTGGTGAACACCACCATTCTTTACACGTGTTAGCATGGGAGGGGGCTGAGGGGGCCGCCACCGTCTGCAGAGAGCCGGACCTGCTCTCCCCCACGTCCCCCAGAGGCAGCTAGGTTAGAAATGGGTTGCTTCTGGGGTGTGTGCGTGGGTGGGTGGGTGGGGGAACTGTCCCCTGCCTCCAGGAGCAGAGGCGGGGTGCCCTGAGGATCTCTGTGTGTTCAGAGTTCACGGGGCCTTGGGCTGTGCTAG